TTTTCCTGCCCTTCTCCTCTTTGCCTTTTGAACTGTATTGTCAATGCTGCTGGCTTCAGACGGCTGAGGATCTTGTTGGCTCTGTTCCTGTCCAGACTGTGTTTCCTCACTCTGGAGAGTGCTTCCTCGCACGCTTGTTCTCTTCTTCTGCTTCCTGTCTTTCCCTTGGTGTTGCTTCCACTGTCATTCTTGCTTTTCCTCCTCTTCCTTTCCTGCCAGTCGGGACTCTGATTCAAACTCTGTATTGCTCTTTGGTTCTTCAGGGTCCACTGCTTGAGTGTTTTGGACATCTTCTTCATCTGCAATGGTGGGCAGTGTTTTGTCACTGGTTTCCTTCTCTTTGATGTCTTCTTTTGAAGGAGGCTGGATGTCATGAGTGTGGGGTTTTATTTGAGCAGATAGAATCTGTAGAGGTAAGATGCCACTATCAGCAGCGTAGTCAAGATCAACAGGGATCTCTGACTCGGTGCTACCATCTGTTTCCTCCAGCAACGTCTTTCCGTCTGTTACTATTTCGCCAGACTTTTCCACTCTTTTTCTTCTTTCTCCAGCATTTCTGGATCTCCAACAATCTCTTTGTTTACTTCTTTTTCTTCCATCTCTAGTTTGTCCTCTTCCTCCTGTCCCTCATCCTCCTCAATGGTCTCCACAGTCTCATCAGACTCCTCCTTGCCTTTGTCCATCTCATCTTCATCTTCCTCTAGCACTCTTTCTTCAGCTTCCTGCTCTTCTTCTGCTTCTTTCTTCAGGAGGTCCACCAACTCCTCTTCACTAAGCAGGACTGCTGTAGGTTTATCGCTCTTTTCAGTCACCTCAAACTCTTCCTCCTGCTTGCTAGCATTAGCATTAGCATTGTCTTGAGAGCTCAGTTCCTCATCGTCTTGCTCCTGGCTGCTGGCCTCAAATGTGACTAAAGTTGGTAAGATCTGCGGCTCGTTGGCCTCCTCTGCGACAATGTCCTTATTTTTGAGGAAAGACAATATACATTTTACAACAAGGAATCATGTTATGTTTAAAATATAATTTTGAGAAATTAGTTAAGATGCCTGCTCTACCTTTTCTTTTGTTTTATGTGAAGTCTTATGCAATCCATGATGTTTTCCATGATGTTTACTTTTGACCTATATGTTATGGGGATAGTTGATTATGAACATTCATTCAGTTAAGGTCAAAACTCCAAATAACAACAAACCCCCTCCATTTTTCAGTATAAGTAAGAAAGATATCTCACAGACAGAGCAAATGTTGCTGACAGTAAGCAAAGGAATACTAAGCAGGCCCTCATACCTGAAACAATGAAAAGAGTAGTTTATAAATTGGACAAATATCGAGACAACATTTATTTATATATATTCATTAACATTACTGGGTGTTTGCCGAGTGAAACCTCAATACTGCCTAAACAGAGCACATTATGAACACCAATACAATATAATCTGACTCCTATACGGTCAAAAACAAAGACAAGAACTTGGCAAATCTCTCAAAGTTAAAATTAATGAGTGAATGTGTGTCCTGACAACACTTTCATGATGAGCAGAGTTGCGGGAATGGCCTCCACTGTTGTCAAGGTTACAGGCCTGAGATGCGCCTCTCTCTCAAAAGTCACATTCAGAGCTAAAGTAAACATCAGAAACTACCAGACTGGAAAAAAGTTGACTTAGTCCACACACTTTTTGTCTCTCTGGATGGAAACAAAACAGACACTATGGGCCTGTCCAGGAGAACAATGGCTCTCTGGCTCGGCCCACTAAACACCAAATAGGTGCAGACAGGGGGGGTGTATGTATGAAAATCCACCCAAAGTGGTAAATCAAACTATTTTATTTAATATTAACAATAATAAAGTAATGTTAAAAAAGAAACACATCAGCGTTCATTTTATATTTTAAATCATATTCTTAAATATATATATAACATTATTATATTTAAAACATTTGATCATTTAAGGATTTTTTCATGAGAACTTTAATATTTACAACACTTAAGGTATAGGTTATATACAACCGTAAGAGTGCTTAATTTTAATGTTTCTTTATTATACACAGCTTATTAGTATACATCTAGTCACTATCTCTTTACATACAATTAAATAGGGCTTCCCATTACACAAAGTTAAGTTCAATATAAGTAAAGGCTATCATACAAAATCTCCAGTATAAAACAAGGCATGCTTAATGAAAAACACAAAGTTGGTAAACAGCAGCATTTTGTTACACATCTAGATTTGATCATTAACTAATATACATACAAATCAATGGAAGATTTTAGTTATTTGGATTTTACCTGAGGCTGGCGGTAACAAGAGAAATGAGAATCCTCGTCTGTGTTGAACCTGTGAAGGTGTCCTTTTGTATTAGAAACAGCGCTCACACTGTCTACATAAACTGGCAAGCTGCACACACACACACACACACACACCACACACACACACCACACACACACAACACACACACAACACCACACACACACACACACACACACACACACACACACACACACACACACCACACACACACAGACACACACACAACATACACACAGTTTTCTGGGCTTAGGGTGCCAACACTTTTTTTACTTTGGGAGGGTCTTTGGGCTATAGAGATTCAGAAAGAGGGAGGGCAACATATCCTATATACACTTCCTTTAGTCTTTAATTTTTCTTGACTATTTTTTATTAGAATGTATACAAAACAATAACCACAAAAAATGAAATCTGACTATATAATAAGATTAAAGTGTGTTGTTGAGGATAAGCTTATGATATGTAGACACATTGTTAAATCACACAAAGGATAATATAGAAAAATAAAATGAGTAATGTAATTTTAACTCTTGCTTTAGTGCTGTTTTCCTTATCAGTGATGTCTGCAATTTTTGAATGTAATGTCTATCTCTCAAGTTGGAATGATGTTGTGTTTAGTGAATATTTGACTGAAGTTGTTTCGGTAGCTTGTTGATGACAGAATAAAACCAAACCAACAAATTATTTTAGCCACTAGATGTCGCTGCTATGCACAGAATGAGTTGTAGTTATGTTCACTATTGCAAGACTTTTTCAAATCTTCTAATAATAATTCAGTAGTATTAATTGACAGATAATTTTTATGTTGAGTTAGATTTGTAATGAAAATATAGATTTTCTGATTTCAGAAAAGTTAATAAAATGGACCTTGAGGTGAGATTTGTTGTCAGCCACTGCTTAATACTTGACACTGAAAAGTAATGGGTTAGGCATAAAATGATAATGGTCAAGTACAGTCTCTATATATTGTAATCAAGTACGATACATTTTCAGACTGCCCATAGCTGAGATCAAGACTTAATACTTTCATTACAGTGCACTAACTAACTTTAGTTGACCAAGATGGTGCTCAATAAAAAACAGGAAACAACTCAAACCTGCATCACTTGTCCCTTAAGGATCAGCTGTAAATACCACTGCTCTATTAGTAGTCTTTCTTGGTGTAAATCTCCAGTTGCAAGCGATAACCTAAACGCATCAGATGTCTGGCTGAATGCATCAATATTTTATAAATACTTGAGTAACCTTTGGGCAGACACTGTTGACTGCCACAACGAGCATCAGTCGTCCTCTACTCACTCCTCCCTTTTTTCTAAAGCAGGACTTTACAACAACTGGTAGCTGTGGTTTCTGGCAAACAGCTCCAGACTGCTGAACATCCAGTCTAATTACATGTTTCGTTTGCACGGTTGAAATCCTAAATGAGGTTAAACAAGGAATTCTTTAATCATATTTAAGGCCGCCTCACCATATATGGAGATCCAGGAAACAATTATGAGCCTCAGGGAGGAAATATAGAAATCTTTATTTAGCCTTTCTACTGTACATGCCCTATTTCCAAGAACGAGGTTTATCCAAAAACATCATATAACGGTGAGGACAATTCAAGTTTCAAGCCTTTATTGTCTTTTGCACATTAGCTACAGCTACATAAACTTAGGTTACAGGCTCCTCCAACAGTGCAACATATACTGTATATATAGAACAAATAAAACAGATACAATAGTGTAAGAGAATGGTTTACAAAACGTGTATTTGGTTTTTTTCAATCCTTCAAGTCATTCCTCATGTGGTTAAGGTGAAAATACTAATCAAGCTGTACAAATATAATAAGAAATAATATAACTTGTGGAGGAAACTTCTGTGTAGCAATGCAGTGGGAGTCACCGACTCAGGAAAGAGACACGGTAGAGTAGGAGCTTTGATGTCAAACACTGATGGTTTATTTGGAGCTTCGGCCGGAGAATTCACATCACAAGTCACAGCAGCCACGATCTGACTGCACGGTAGAGTTGCCACGTCAATTCTGAAGAACTCTACCCCAGACCCATGTATTTAGCTAGTTCCGAGAGCATCATCAACATGCTGCATAACAAGATAAAATCATAACACCTCTGTCAGCTGACGTCAACAGGCAGGAACATAGAATCATAACAGGTCTATCAGCTGACGCCAACAGGCAGGAACAGGGAGACAGAACACTGAGAGCACAGCAGCCAAGGTTACGAGGTGCGTGTGCTCAGTCAGGAAGTTGAACTGATAAACTGGGTCAAAGTTATGGGCCTTGGAAAATATTCCCCAACATAACTAATTGTAGACTAGATAGTATAAGGAGAGAAAAACATCCACCTCACCGGAAACAAGCATGACCCCATCTGGCCCTCCTTTCCTCTCTGAGTGGGTGAGTTTGTTTTCTCAACAGGCCACAAACCTATGTTTTAGTGCGCTGAACTATATTTTACTAACAACTTCAGAGGGGGTGGAGAACTTGTAGTGACTGAATGCAATAACTGCGTGTGCGTGTATTTGCGGTGTGTATGTGCAACCACTATCTTGCCAGTGTGTGTGGATGTTTTTTTTCACCGGAACAAATACACCTTCATGTGTGGAAAGGAGATATCCGGGAGGAAGTGATGCAATCGTTTTAATTACTTATATAGAGTGATCCTTGGAGTTTCCTTCAGCATATCCAAACATTGTGCTTTTACTGCCTCAACCACCAGCTCTCCAGCTCAGAAAAGGCTCTGGGTTCTCCTGTTTGCTGCTTCACACACTGAACAAGGACCACTGACAACATTTCTCTCAGCAGCTCTGCAACTAACAAACAAAGAGGTACACTTTCACATATTATACTTTATAACTGTTTTTTCTTGCTGGCAATACAACTACAGGTTTATGTTGCTGATGTATTACGATGGGTTAACATTATTTAAAACTGCCATTGCTTTAATTTGTATTATTTATATATATATATTATTTTAGAGTATGGATTCATTGTTTATTGATTATTTATTAATGTTTCCTTTTTGTGAATTTGGGTTTTTTACTTGCCCCAAATTTCCTTTTGGGAAACATACAAAGAAGAAGTATTTCAAATGTAATTGAATCAAATGTGTAATAATATTAATCACATACTGTATGTCTGTTACAGAATGAGGGGTACCGTAGTAATGTTTTGCCTGATTGGAGCCGTTTTTGCCAACCCAGTAAGTAAATAATACAATTAGTGTAAGACGTACTTTTTGATGAAAACAATATACAATTCAATGCACATTTTGCACATAATATATTCTTTGTTCTACTAAGGAATATGCATAATATACCTATGGCAAACAAATTAGAGAGTTTACTTTATAACACTTAAGTGTTGCATTTCAGCCCGCAGTAAGAATACGTATATTATATAATAACTATAACTAAATAACAGCAGAGCAGGAAGGCTCAGTCATTCAAGAAAACATATTAGAGAGTTAAAACACACATTTATCTTTGACTATCAACTGACCTGTTATTTCTCTCCAACAGATTTTTTTCAGTGCCATTTCGGAATCAAATTCGCTTGACTCAAACTCGGTGAGTGCTTTTCTGAATCGCACTTTCCTAATATCATATTTGACTCTTTGGGTTTCAGCATAGGAACTCAACATTGTTTAAACATAAATCATTGACTGCAGGCACCATGGCTCCTCCGTCATAGTAAGCAGAAAACCCAACAATAGGTGTGGTTGCTCAAAGATCTCAAGACAATTCCCATTCCAGACAGCTTTGTTTACTATACTATGTGTCTGCAGCCATAGCTTGAATGTGATGATTGTTTCTGTTGCAGTTGTAAGGTATAATTAAATATATTGCGATATATGCTTACTTTGTTTCTCTTTCACAGACTGAAAGTTTGTCAGTTTCACAATCTTCAGAAAATGACACCTCAGAGCTTCAAGTAATTAGATTGCATTACTTTATTGTCATTACAAAATGCAAGCACAGTGTAACAAAATTAAAATTAAGGAGGGTCTAACCAGGGTGCAAAACAGTCAGTTATACACAATTATCAGAAGTATGTACAAAATAAATGATACAAAAATAAAGGTAATAGATGGGAAATGTATAAATAAGAATAAATACACAGATAATAATAAATACAGTGAATACAGTACTGTATATAAAACAGTAATGTACAAGGATAATTGCGCTTCAGCACAACACACGACAACAACAACTAGGCAGTATGGGACAGCGTTGGGTTCATTGTCAGCAGTCTGACTGCTGAAGGGAAGAAGCTGTACGTAGTCCTGTTGGTTCTACCCGGGAGGCTGCGGTAGCATGTCCCAGAGCGGGTGCCACGTAGGGGGATACACAGTGTATGGTTTGGGTGTAATGCACACATTTATCCCAGTAAGGAGGACATTATTATTTTCTGATGCAGATTGAGTTTTGCATCACTTTTCATTGCTGATCTAAACCTTAACTGATATGTATTCCTTTTTCTGTTGCAGAGCTCTGAAGAAAGTAACTCTATTCACGTAAGTTAGTTGGATTTGTCAATATTATGCATGACCCTAAGAGGGAAACATTGAATCTTTTGATATAATTAAATGAAGGATGTTCTGTATAAATGTCTGAATTATCCTTTTCATATTTTCAGAGTCAGAGCTCAGAGTCAGAATCATCAGAATCCACATCAGAGGACAAGGTGGGTTGGATCATCACTTTTAACATTATTGTCATTCGTAAACTAAATTACATTAAGCATGTTCCTGGTTGTTTCATAACCTCAAATTCATCTTATTTTAAGAGTTGAGGATGTTTATAGCACAGACTCTAGTAGTATCTTTAGTGCAGAGAAGCCCAGTAAGCACAACCAAATTAAGAAATACTGTACTGATCTGTGGAAATAAAATGTAGAATATATTTCTATAATTATTTTCCTTTCCCACAAGCAGGACTTCAGAGGAGAGTAACACCAATCAGATGAGGATGTTGCGGTAAGACCAAATCAAGTATTTTGTCAAATCTAGTATGTTGCCAATTGTTAATGTGACGCAGGCCTAATGCTGGACTCTTCTAAGCTCATCCTATTCACTGCATTTCCACAGATTGATCTTATTGATTGAAACCAGAGATGATAGGCATGGGCAGCGAGGAGAATATTCGAAAGGTGGATCAAAAATGAGTTTTTTTATTTACATTTCCATATTTAACTAAAAGATAAAAAGTGAATAACCACTATGCTCTGCTTTTTCTCTGCATCAGAGTTGGGTCAACAGTTCGCAAGTGTCATCAAAGACCTGATTGCAGAGGACAACAGCAGGATGGGATCAGGGCTCAACCAGACCACCTGACTGAGAAACAGCCCACTCTTACCTCCACCAGCACAAACAGCCGAAAGCAGCAAGTGAGAGCACCAGCAGTGAGAGCACCAGCAGTGAAAGCACCAGCAGTGAGAGCACCAGCAGTGAGAGCAACCAGCAGTGAAAGCACCAGTAGTGAGAGCACCAGCAGTGAGAGCACCAGCAGTGAAAGCACCAGCAGTGAAAGCGACCCAGACCAACGAGACCAGTGAGGAGAGTGACAGCAGCAAGCGAGGAAAGCAAGAGCTTGGAGGACAGTAATGCTAGTGACAAGCGATGAGCTGCAGCAAATCAAAGCCCCAGACTGTGGTGAAGGGAACTCAAAGCTGTGAGTATTCTTCCAGGATAGGAGACGATGCTCAGTACTCAGTGGACAATCTAATGATGCCAGAGGAGGCTGAAAGGGAGCTACATTAAGGAGATGAGGAGATGCTCTTGTGCAGCTTTTTGTTTTAACCACTATGAACTACTGCACAATTGAATGGCCTGGCCTGAAGACTTCAGACTGATACATTTAAATCTTGCCCATCGCTTTAGAATGTTAATTTTGGCAATATAATGTTACCTGCAGCTGATTTATGTGTGTGGGTGTGGTGGTGTGTGTGTGTGTTTGTGTGTGTGTGTGTGGTGTGTGTGTGTGTGTGTGTGTGTGTGTGTGTGTGTGTGTGTATGTGTGTGTGTATGTGTGTGTGTGTGGTGTGTGTGTGTGTGTGGTGTGTGTGTGTGTGTGGTGTGTATTATTACTGTGATTAAGATTAAGCATTTACTTTTGTTTTGATAATAATAAACATATAAGTAACCATGGGTATTGGTTGCGGGACATTTTTGTATAATCATTCAGAGTGTAGTATACAGTGTAGTATATTAAACTTCACACTATCTCTCTCTCTGGTTTAGAGGGTCTAAAGATTGGTTAATTATGGCAGGGGCCCAGGGTTTGTCACACATACATGTTTTGTCATCAGCTATACTTAAAGTAATTTTTTTATTTTACATTTGTTCATAAGTGCTTAACGCACTTGACAGTTCAGTAAGGTAAAAAGCAACAAAAAAAAAAATCTGTCTCTTTCCATTTACTGGTGAGAAAAGCAATGGAAAACGAAGGTAAGGACTCAGTAAGTTGCCATATTGTCCAGATTTTGTTTAGACACTGGCCAGCCATATAGAGAAAAGATTCCAGGAGTCTTGTAAAGAAGACAACAAAACATATTTCTTCAAGGTGTTATGAAATATAACCAGTAGTAGACCATTGTAAAGTGATTTTGGTACTTTCCTGTATCACCAAAATTAAGCTAGATTTGTGTATTTTAACCATAAACTGTGACTTTAACCAACGAGAGACCATTAATGGTGGGGTAGGTAATTTTGGAGAAACCAGCTCGAGTCAAGCCCCCAGTAAGTGCGCCGGACTCAGATGAAAATATTCGTGCTGGCCAAACGGCGGTACTACACTTCCGTGTGGTTGCCAGGCCCGGAACACTTTTCCCATAGAGAGGCGAAGTCCCTCCCCTTCCCGAAAGCCTCCATGGGACCCCGGAAGCGGAAAAATTATACATTGACAGTCAATGGAGAGAGAAAGGTATCTTTTGATCCCGTTTGAATTGTGCCAACGAATGACACATATGATGTTTGTCATTTAAAAGAACATTTTGCAAGTCAAAAAAAATAAAAATGTGTCGTAAAACTGTGAAGTACACATTTTTTTCGTGTGAAACCGCTCAAGTGAACTACAGGTCTCTCGTCTCGCACAATACGCGTCACCAACATAAAGATGGCCGTCACGTTAGCACATTTCACCACATTCTTTCAGAATGAGAATAAAAGTATTTTACGAGGTGAAAAATCACTACAAGTCTGGGCACGTTGAGAGCTGTACCTATATGAAAGGGGAGTTAGTTCGGTTCTGTAAGAGCCAGCATGCGGGACCGGCTTTACAAGGTTTCAGGTGAGTAATATGAGTGGCAATGTGTAACGTTAATGTCAGCTAGCCTAACATTAGCTAACAAGGTACACTAACGTGTTTTGTTTTTAGCAACTAGTTTTCTCCTTAAGAACTTCGTGGTCTCTGTGTATGCTGTGGATAACATTAGTGTTCACAAGAACAAGGTACACTCCCGTGTTTTGTTTTTAGTTGCTCTTCAGATTGAAGCGGCCCAGTTTTATATCGACTATACTGTATGTGTGATCTCCTTTTTCTCGTTGTGTCATTTGAGTTTATTTGCTGTGTGTCGATTCAAGGATTTTGGGTATCTAGTCACAGCTGTGTGTTGACTCCCTCTGGTACACCGGTATGTGTTTTTCCTAATGTAGAGAGCATTGATTAATTAATAAACTACACCTGAGTCCTAGATCCTGACCAAATCCTTTTTATTGTTGATCAAATGTTTTTCAAAAACGTATTCATACACATTTAGAAAAATCCAATGTACAATCACAACCAATACAGCACAAATTACAAAAAAATACAGAAAAACAAACAATAACAACAGACAAGAGGACAAAACTATGGGAAAATAAACCCTCCCACCCCCAGATCCGGACCATCCTTGTATTATTGCTCATTCAATCTATTATAGCATGCTAACAAATGGTACTTACTTTATTTTTACAGATCTGCATGGGAGACGATGGCGCGATGCAGAGCGCTGTCTGTGATTGTGCACAGGAGATGTACAAATGCAGCCACGCTGCAGCATTGGCAATATTTGCCATGTGGCAGATCAGCTCCATAGATGTTGAGTGCCAGTGGAGGAAGCCTGGCACTTCCAAAGTAGTCCAGCCGGTGTCTCAACTTTACCATCAGCGAGAGGAGACATACAACCCACTGGCCAGAGACATCGCCAACTGTCAACTGGGGGGGTTGTAAACGAGGCCGAAGGGGTGAAGGCTTTTGTGGAGGCCTATCAAGTGACAGTGTTCGAATCGAGTCTGGTCTCTTTGTGAGTGAGTCGGGTGTTCTGGGAGCATCACCCGATGGACTTGTGCAGCCATCGGCCCTGCTGGAGGTGAAGTGTCCACACAGCCAGAGGAACATGACCATCACGGAGGCAGTCCAGTTACCATCCTTCTGTCTCCGTGCGGAGGGTGGGTCATATATTCTCAAGGAGAATCACCCATACTGGCACCAGGTCCAAGGGCAGCTGCACATCACAGACCGGAGTCTCTGCTACTTTGTTGTGTGGACCACGAAGGAGGCGATCATCATCCCCATCCCCAAAGACCCTGCATGGCATGGAAATCTCCTCCTCCTGGAACAATTCTACACCCAGCATATGCTCCCTGTGTGGCCAGTAGAGAGGAGGACATTTCAATAAACATACTCTTAACACCCTCGGACTCTGCGTTGTGTTTCGTATGTGTGATGGGGTGTTATGCAGAGGGGAGGAAAACAGGACACAGCAGATTGGGATTGTGGTGGAGATGCTGAGCAGTTATTTAATTGTTGCATGTAATTATTATTATACTGCGTGCTTCATTACATTGCTTCTTAGTTATTCCATCTTTTGCTGTAACATGGATCTGTATGTAACTCTATATTTACTTGTTATCTACCACACTTCCTTCTACATCATACACCATCATTATACATGATGATGTATATAGGATATATATATTTGTATACATATCTGTAAATTGTATAATTGTATTTAAACGTCTTTTTGATCTCAAACTGAGTAAGATTGACAATAAAGTTGACTTTGAAAAATATATATATTCTTTATGAAAATAGTTGACTGTTGTCAAATGAATCCAAATGAAACGTTGGACTGAACTACAACTACGCCTTTAAATCTCTACGGACTGTTTTTCAGTGGGATGGCAAGTTCCTATCTTTAAACATTTATTAGTTTTTTCTCAGAACAGATTTAATTTTCTGAAGTTAATTTAACTTTGCCGACCATGTAAGGTCATCATTAAAAGGTACAATCAATTTGTTTAGGGTTGACTAAAATAATGAAAAACATTCATTTGGATAATTTACTGACAGAATAAGAAACTCAATGATGCTCTACTCACCTGTTCCCTTTTTATAAAGTGAAACAGTTGAAACGATAGATTTTAGTAAACTTAAAAACAACCTTCTCCAAAAGCTATCAAGGAATATACCGAATACTTGTTTTAGAACTTTATTACATATTTTTATATAAATAGTTTGAATGATCCATAATTGACAGAAGCTTGTGTTTACACTGACCTGTTACTCATATATTAATGTCTTTGTAACTTCAGTAAACCACTACCTCACTAATTTCTTTCATTCATCACGGTTCAGTAAACTAAGTGATACATGAACCAGTTTAATCATTATAATAACGTAGGATTGCAACTCTTTGAAAATGTATGTGGCTCTTAAAAGAGCTGTTGTGTTTGGGTGTGCTGGTCTCAGGTCAGTCTAAGCCCTCTCTCCGCGGATGCGGCGGGACAGCTGGATGTCCTTGGGCATGATGGGGACCCTCTTTGCTTGGTTCATCTTACTGGGGGGCAGCTACATGGATGTCGGTGCAGTCCACAATCATTGCGCAGTTGAAGGCAGAATGAATTTATTATTGACTCCGAATGAAGCACAACTTCATGTCATACAATACAATGACTTTATTTGTAATTGTGTCAAAAAATATGAGCATTGATTAGCAAGCAGGACCTGCAGGAACAGAGAACGGTGATGGAGCTGGGAAGAGAGAAGAATAAAGAAAACGGATCAACTTTATTATCGGATATTAAAAATTCAATTTCAAAACAAGTTGCCGCTCCTACAGTTTTCTAGTATGTAAAGATGATTTCACATGACCTATGCAAAATATCACACTCAATACATGTGTGTCTCTGGGGGGTGCATTGTGCCTTTGATGTATATAAATAATATACCATAACCAAATACTATTACGTACAGTGGAAATCAGGTTGCCAGAGCAGGTCAGTGTGCATGTTCCTCAACGTCTCAGCAGTTACAGGTGAGGTAATGAAAATAAAAGAGAAAAAGGTCAGTAACAACACTTTAAAGTAACAACACTTTGAATAATTATCTCTTCTAACAATTTTCTCTCAATAAGCACACAACGACTGTCTTTCCAACAAACAGATTGTCATCACAATGAAACACGTCCAGAAGAATGTCATGCAAAGCTCCCTGCCTGCCTTCGACTCTCCCTGAACTGCTTCCTTAGCACCCGGTGGAGGGCGCAGTAGGCTACTCTTCAAATGTTTCACGAAATACTTACCATCATGTTTGGTTACTGTTTAACATTTTGGTTTACTTCATGTAATAAAATAATAACTTCATGGTAAGGCTACTAAAAATGACAAGGCTAAGTAATGTAATGCTAACTAACGTGCTCGCTACTCGTCGCTACTAGCTAGGTAGCTAACTTGACTATGTTCCATGCACAACATGTATATTACCTATGATATTACCTGATATGTCTGATCCAGCGACTCCTGGTCCTTTCATCAGACGGGAATCGATAGAAGGAGCAAGTGGTATGATCACTTTTATGACTACAACCTGGTACAAAGCACACAGGCATCTTGTAAAAGTGAATTTATTTTTAGCGATCTATAATTTATTGGAGGGAATAAATCAGTTATGAGATCTTCTTCTTCTTC